TCTCAGGTGTTTCTCAGGTGTTTCTCAGGTGTGTCTCAGGTGTGTCTCAGGTGTGTCTCAGGTGTTTCTCTGGTGTGTCTCCAGGTGTGTACCTTCGCTGTCTGGCCTCCTGTTCCTCCTCATGTAGACAGGTGAGCTGTCGGAGGAGGGGTAGGATTTAGATGGTGAACTGCTTGGTGTCACCAGCGCCTCTTGAGACGTGGCATTGGTCAGCTGAGTGTACCGCCCCCGAGGGTGAGTAACCAATGACGCACCTCCATCCTCAGGAGAGCGTCGTACCTGAGACATCAAGGTTATGTAGGTCAAAGATCTTGTAATAGTTTTGTCTTTATAAACCATTTAAACTTGAGTTCTGGCCTCTGATTGGTCTCACCAAGGAGGTGTCAAAGGAGAAGGCGGGGCTTCGAGATGACACCAATAAATCAGGTGTGGGAGAGGAACCTCTCCTGGGCAGGTGTAAAGGTGAGCGGGCGGACTGTACTGGACTGTCCTGCAATCAAATACACAGTCTGATCAGGAGATAGCTTCATATGAAACACATGAGGGTTCCAGAACCTTACCTTCCTGTCCAAGGTGTCGTCACCCTCTGTGGAGCTCACGCTGTCACGGTAACGGGACCGTGAGGGGCGGTGCCTACGTGTCTTGACAGACAGCTGGGCTCGACCTTTCTGGATGCTGTTGTCCAGCAGCTCAGTCTCTGGGACGGCCTCATTCAGRTCTGAAACAAAGACTGAACCATGGTTTAGTCTGTGGGTGCTCTGCTCCTGCTCAGTGTGCTCAGGTGTTTCCTTCAGGTGAGGAGGAAGAGGTGAGATGGATGGAGGACGGATGGTGGATGATGGATGATGGATGGAGGACGGATGGTGGATGATGGATGATGGATGGAGGATGGATGGATGATGATGGTTGGATGGATGATGGATGTTGGATGATGGATGTTGGATGATGGTTGGATGATGGTTGTATGGATGATGGATGTTTGATGGATGGATGTTTGATGGATGGATGTTGGATGATGGATGTTGGATGATGGTTGGATGATGGTTGGATGATGGTTGGATGGTGTTTATGGTTTAATGTAATGTGTTTATTGTAGTTTTATGAAACTCTCTCCTCTTCTGTGTTTTACTCTCAACCTGTTCTGTTCTCAGTTCAACAGTTGAGAAAAGACTTCTTAAAGACTGGATCAAATTATTGGGGGGGTCATGACCCTCGTAATCCCCCCCACACACACACACACACTCACACACACACAGACACACACACCACACAGACACACACAA